CGGGGGGCGCGAGAGAAGAACGCTGCCATGCAAAGCGTCGCTTGACAGCGTCTTTTTTACTTCCACCTGCGTTCGTCGCATAAGGATTGTGGATTTCAGCCCGACCATTGAAATCGCGTCCTACTAAAATGTCCGAGCGCTATGCATCTTTGCTTTAACTGAGTTGCGAGAAGGATGCTGCACACGGAGGATCGTTGTTTGACATGCACTGACATTTAAAATGAGCCATCTGAACCGTGCACATCTCATGCTTTTCGATTCCTGAATGCACAGCGTGATTAAACGCGTGCTTTTAATCGGAGCGTAATCTCCGTATAGGCTCCTCTGACACATTTCTAAACGTTTGTTATGGGGGTCAACACAACAACCCGAGGCGGTGGGATTTGATTGTGACTACTATTACGTGTTTTTACTTATATATCATATATACTTGGATCATCATTTGCGCTCGTTGATCAGCTAAGCTTGTGAAACTGCTTAACGCGGGTTGTTTTGTGTGGTGCTGAAAGGACAGCTCCCACCACAGCGGATCATATGGATCAATATTAGGGGTCTGACAGAAAAAAAAACTAAACAAAGCTGTAGAAAAATATAATGAATTACAAGTCTGTAGAGAACAGTGCGCTATTGCAGACTTATATACTGAAGTTTTAATTACGTTATTGTAATAGCTATAGTCAGTCGTGAACTGAAGTGGGCCGCTCTAAAGCATGAAACTACAGGGCTGAAAATGACTCCCACTCCAGCCCTGGATGAACGCCACTTGGCGAGCATATGCATTTAACGCATTCTGCTTTTGTGGTTACAGAAACATTTGAAAATGCTTCTCGGAGGCCTTCAGCATTCCTTCATGGTAAACAAAACTTTTGAGAGGAGTGTAGTTAAAGCAAGAAAACGAAAACTAAAAAAAGAACAACGAGCTTGCAAGAGACGCAAAAGACAAGTAACTTGGCTTGAAGAATAATGATATAAAGGTTTAAAGGTATATTTTTATCTAAAGCGGTAATTTATAAGAATAATAAGTAATTTCAACTCAAAATAATAGCTCATGTATTTATTAATTTGTTAATGATCCCCAGATTGTTCACTATCCGTTGGAAATGCAATATTTATACTTGAGGGTAAAATTGCAAAACATTCTTCTACAAACTCTCCGAGTTGTAATTCAATTGGCCAATCTCCGCGAAAACATTAGAATGTAATCCAGCAGCTATCCTCATCATCTATCATATTCCAGCCTTTCATCCCCTCACACAGTCTTTTGAATATTTATGAGTTTGCCGACGTCACGTTTTGTGTGGTGCTGAAAGGACAGCTCCCACCACAGCGGATCATATGGATCAATATTAGGGGTCTGACAGTGTCGCTCTCGGGCTTTAATGGCTGTGGCACGCAAGATCAAAACTCTGCTGACGGTCAACATTCTGGTGTTCGTCGGGATCATCTTGTTCTCCGTCTACTGCAGGATCCAGGACCGATCCGAAGAGCTCGTGCAGATCGGGAGGCTGTCGGATCAGAGGCTGCGAGGAAGGAATGCCAAAGTTACGAACTCCATGGACAGACAGTCCATTCTCAAAAGGCTCGAGCGACTAGAAGATGTGGTCTATAACCAGTTAAATGGTATGTGGGCTTTAAGCATCTTTCATTAATAAGTAATTTATAGGCATTATATAATGCATGATAGATCAGTCTTTAATGGACATTTAGATATGATTTAATCTAGATTTACACTTTGGATTTTACTGGGATTGTCATCCTAATACTTTAACACGTGACAATTACTACAGACTTGTTTATGATGCAATAAACATGTTAAGAAGAGCAAGACAGGATTAGGTGCACATAATCCTAATTTGACCTATCAAAATATATCAATCAAATGGATTAAATATAATGATCTTTTAAGCATTACATGGTTTCATAATGTTATTGATTAACTTTAAAGTGCTATCAGAGAAATTAGAGAAAGTATAGTATAATAGCAAGGATGTAGTGCCTGATTGTAACAGCAAAACATTTTGTCCTGTGTCTCTATTTTGAGGGTTTTCAGAGGTGTTGTTCTGAAAGTTTTGTTACATTATGAAAACAAAGTACGCATTTCTCAGAGTATGTCATGTCTTTCCATATGTGTATTATTTTTTTTTAGATCAGTTGAATTAATATAAAATTAACTTGCAATTCTACATGCTTGTCTAAAACTGGGACAAAACCTGACCTCTTCTTACGAACTTGTACATAATTTAATAAGTAGAGGAGGATAATTTTATCTATAGGATGTTTACTTATTTTTTAACAGCAAAATATAATGCAAGAAACAGCAGTGAATCATAATTAAAATAATTAAATATTACAACTATTCAAAATTTCCTATAATATTTGAGAAACTTTGGTTGGGAGGAAAATGCTATATTTTCAGATATGCATGCTCACATAAAATCTACAGATTTCCACAGAATTTTACGTCCTGTCATTAAACAAATTATCTTTCCCCAGTGTGTTCGTATATTTTTGGCTAATTTGATTATGCTTTTGGCCGTCAATGCAAATATTTGTCAGATTTGTTTAGTACATTTTAGTATTTATAAATCCATTTTACATAATCCCATAGATTTAATAATTTTAATAAAGAAAATAATCAGCAGCTTCTATCTGGGACTGTAAAAAGGAATTGTCCTACTGCGATCTTACTTCCCATTCGTCCTTGCCTTAGCCACACTTGTGCTCCCTCTTAGTTCTTTTCTTAGAATATTAGAGCCCATTTCCTTAATCATTATGTTCCTAGACTAGCATATTCTCCTGGAGAACATGTGAAGGTCATAGTTCATGTGATGTGCTATCTTTCTTCTAAACGTCTGTTAAAGACCTCTCACTCCCTGTTTGCTTTTCTTAGTGCATCTATTTGATCTGATTGTTATTCTGTAAGACCAACACCATTTGTGTATGAAGGGGGTCACTCTGTCAGTTTGAATTATCCTTCTTGCATTTGGAAGAAAGCCAAGAGGCACTGCTTCACAAAAAAGCCCTCTAATGTGCCCTACTGATTGAGAGGGCTTTCATTCTGCACAAGTGCCACCACATATTTCCCCCGGAGGCTTTTCCACTCTGTAGAATTCATCAGTCTGTCACAAATCTTCCCAATGTTGGGGCCGTTATACATTTTATTTCGACACATATTTATCTGTTGCACATAAAACTTGTGCGATAGTGTGAGTCACTCGCTGATTGTATGTGATATTGAGATTGGAATTGGTTTTCCCTTGAGGTTTTCACATTTCTGTTGCCGTATTTGCTTCCAGTGGTGATTTGACGTAATTTGTTTGTTTTTCAGTTGTTTATTGTCCTGACAATGAGACCCAGAGGATTACTCCAAGGTCCAATTGCATTTCTAGGACACAGCGAGTTTTGCAAGAAGGCAGTATTTGTTTGGTTGTTGATGGCACACTCATCCCTTGAAACATCTTAACAAATATGCTGTAAATGTTTGTATGACCATTAGTTGGATGAATAATGTCCCAGAGAACATATAAAACATTATCACCGACAATGTTTCTGGTTTGAGATGGACAGATGTGTTATCATTTCCCACCCCATCATAGTACCCAGCATGATCATGCACCTGGTTTTTCGTGGGGGCAACAGTGGTGTGCTTGGCAAAATTGCAATTCACCTTGACAGCCGGTGATAACCATGCATTGTGTTGCATGCAGTATATGCAAGAAGGTGTGACCTGACTGGATGGACCACATTTAGACATGAATGGATGATTTGTTACCACAGTTTCTTTAGACAAAAACTTGTTTTTAACCTACAGTATTCGAAAAAATAAATAAATAAACAAACAAACAAACTTTTTTTTATATATAAATTACAAGTATATTCCACCTTAGTTTGAATGGGCATAATGTGGTATAAAAGCAATTAATTTTTTTTCCCCCTCAATTATTTATTATTTTATTGTTTTTCTCTCAGTAGCATAAAGATTGTTATATAGTCTCTCATTTACTGTGGATTTATAGACAAGTTCATGGCCAGTTCGTATATGTGATGATCAGTTTGTGTATAGTTGAAAATTGTCTGAAAATGTACTCAAAATCATCTACATCTTGGATGACCTGAGAGTGTTTCTTCATTGGAAACGATTTGAAGAAATGTATTATTACATCAGTTCCTCATCAATGGATCGTCTTTAGTAAACGGGTGCCATCAGAATGAGCTTCATATAGCTGATAAAAATAATCCACTATAATCCACACAACTCCTATCTGTGCATATTTCTCTCCTGATTTAGATGAGTCGACGACTTCACTGGAGAAAGCAACAGAGGACTCCTATTTTAGCCAGAAGCAACAATTTGAAGTTAATGATGTCTTGATGAATTTATTCATTATAAACACACAGCTTTTCACTTAAGAAGATGTCATGTGATAAATCGTGTGGATTACTTGTGGATTATTATGATGTTTTTATCAGCTGTTTGGACTCTCATTCTGATGGCACCCATTAATTGCAGAGGATCCACTGCTGAGCACAAATGATGTAATGCTAAATTTCTCCTAATCTGTTTTAATGAAAAATCAAACTCATCGACATCTTGGAAGGCCTGAGAGTGAGTACATTTTCAGCAAATTTTCATTTTTGGGTGAACTATAAAATTGTATTGTGAAGTTCTTCATTGTTTAAAGTGCTTGCTGATTATTCTGTAGGATTGCTTCACCCAACTAAATCTGACCTTGTGGAATAGCTGTGAAGCTAAAGTGTGAGAGTGAAGTGGAAATGTCACTATAAAACCTGAATAGTTTGGGAATTACTTTAAAAATGCATGGAAATCAGTTACCTTGAGTCGCGGGAGTCAGATTAATTTACATTGTACAAAGCTACACAGTACAATAAACTATGACTGCATAGATTAAGGTAATCAGTGCAGGAAGTGAAATGCCATTTACCATTTTGACAAAATTAACAAGTGCATTTAACAGTGAAAACCAAAGTGCAAAGAGCAGTTCAGGGATAGGTAGTGGGTCATTTCTGACACAGTTGTTTAGAAATGCTGGATTATTGTGAAAATACCCTTTATCTGACTGCTATTAAAAATGCAGAGCTATGAGAATGTGCAATTAGCCCCCTGATTAGGTAGCAGATCTACCGTGAGCATTACCGCTAAAGTGTGCTTAATTTCTACAGCTGTAGTTCGGTTTATCTCCGCAAACAAAGATGCGATAGACTGAACAGATTTCTACCTGGGAAGTGATATAAACAGAGAAGACTACATTACCAAACAGTTTGGGCTTTTGTTTTTAAAAGAAGTCCCTTCTACTCAGCAAGGCTGCATTTATTTGATCAAAATTATAGCAAAAACTGTAATATTGTGAATTTGTAAAAATTCTAAAAATATGTAAATTTTAAGAAAATAAAATATCTAAAGGATTGATGATACAGATTAATTTTCACAGCCTTCTTTGATAATTTTTACCAAGGGTATGAATAATTGAGCACAACTGTATACATTTGGATTATCACACCATGCGGGAACCCCTGTAGGGTTGAAGCTGTGTAGGTGCCCCATTTGCCATACATCTATAAAAAGTACAATGTTGTTCTGATACAGTGTGCTAGTACTATAGATAATGTAATTTCTCTGGCTCTAGTAATTTAGAGTCAGACTGAAATTCAATAGAAGAAATGACAATATCAGTAATTGCTCCTAATGGATAACATAATTGATACTATATTTAAATATTTTTGTAAAATATTTTTCATAATTTATATGACCTGATTTAAATGGCTCACATGTTCCAACTCAGATATTTTGATTGTCTTGTCTTACTTTATGCATTTTGGTTATAAATCAGGCTAGTAGGTACAGTATTTCAATACCATCTATGCTTTATGGCCCAGCACCTTTTAGTGTCTAATGCATTAACAGTGGACTCTAAGGGGACTGTCCATTCCTGCCATTCAGTCCCCTTAACCACATTTTCCTCATGCATATTTATGCTGCACTAGCATCAGTTTTGACATGCATTTATATATTCATTCAGCCCCTAAATCACCTCAAAAAGGAGTATCTCTTATCCTGAAATCCATAGAGGGTTATAGAGTTTTTTTTTTTTTCAAATATTGTTACATAATTTAAAGCAGTTCTGAGTGAAGTGCAGTGGACCTGAATGTTGTCAGAGCACTTTACGAGAAAGTAGGAGATAAACATGACTCGTAGTATCACGAATAGATCACGAACGGATGGTTAAAAGACCTCCACAAACAGAGAGCGGATTAAACCACATTGGTCGAGCCAGTGGCTGAAAGGGTCATGACCTGTATCGGTTGTTGATGTTGTTTATAGGACATAGTTGTGCATTCACAAACAACATGCCCGGTAAAAAGGTGTTTTTATAGCGTTTTGTTCAGACGGGTCCAGAAATTGTATTATAATTAATTTGCATACATTTTTTACATTACATTTATATTATATTATATTATATGTTACAGTGCAGAGAGTAGTTATTATAATATAACATAATATAAAAACATTATTATAATATATTGTTTTATTTGTTTATACACTCTAAAACATGCTGGGTTATTTTTTTTTACCCAAATGCTGGTTTCAGCATGTTGGGTCA